CTTTTAGATCACTAACAATTTAAACATACTGACTCTGTTAACATCGGAATCTAAGTACTTTACTAAGATAAAAGAACTCATTAGCCTAATTTTGTTAATAAATAATAAAATACAGTAGACTAAGAATATAAAAACTGTTTTGCTATCATTAATTTGGTAAAGTTCTTGAATGTTTAAAGGGATTACTTACAATCGTACGAGAAAGATGTTAATTTGATATTACAGTCCTCTAATAACGATTGAGATAAAACAGATCCAGTATATTCAGCTCAGGTTGCCATCATAGAATGCAATTAAAATATGTATTTAAAATAACTAAAGGGCCCTGTTATGAGGATGAAAGTATCAATTTGGTAGTAGGTCTCATTTCAGGCTGCTTCCTCTTTTCTATATGGCAGTGTGTTCAAAGATCAAACACTGACATGTTGATGTTTGACTGGTTGTTTTAGAAAAAGGGGCAGAGCGAAATTTCCTTTAGAGATGTGGATATTCACAAGCAGAGCTGGTGACCAAACACAATCTATTATCAACAACAAAAATAATTTCCTTTACAATATAATGCTTCTGTAGCATATAGACATTGAATAAAAGTGAAAATCTAACGAATAGGCTACCTGAAAAAAAATATGCTAACTTAAAGTAACTGTAAGTGTTTTAACTTGATAGCAGTTTCAAATTCATTCTGATGATACACTGACTTCTAATATGGACAATGGCTTCTGTTTCTTTCCCACGCTCCCCTCATACGTCTGTTCTGTTAGGCCGGGCATACACTGTGCGATTACAGCAACGTTTTGGTTAAATACCAAATCGGACAAAAATTGCTGTGTATATCCGGCGTTACGGGAGTAAGTTTGATGGGCAAGTACAAAATCCCATGAAAAAGGCCAATTGCTTTACGGCAGTAACATGCAGGCGTACAGCGATCCACTTTTTTTTTCTTTTTTTTTTTTTATGACAATTACGATAGGGATACATTTATGACAATGAATTCCACTCCCTTAACTGTAGGAGGCTCTAAAATCACAAACATACACAAAACTACATACAGTTGCTTTAATGACCATTGTTCCTGCATCCCTTTATATGCACTAGACCAGTATGGAGATGGCATTAACATATGACACGAGTTTTTGTTGTTGTTGTTGTTTTAAAGCCTAAACAATTAAATAATAAATAAAGCCATTAAATAGCTTCCACCTATCTTGAGACTTTTCAGCGTGTAGCATAAGTTCAGGTTGTTGTTGTTTTTTTAATTTATTTATTTTTACATTTTCTACCATTTTTGGGTTATGCTTGTCAGACATTAACAAACTTTTTTTTTTCAAGAATTCAAATATATTACAATAGAGGGGCAAGTCTGTTCAATGATCTGATGGGACTAAAGCTGAACTTCTGGGCCTCAGTCCAAAGTGTGGTGTTTGCTATACTATACTTAAGTAGAACATGCATTCCAGCATAGAAGAAGCAATGTTTTCATACATAGAAAATATTATATTTATGTTGTTCCTCAATATTTTTTATTATCATCATTCTGTTATCAGGGAGGGCCTGTAAAGAGAAAGTAAGGAAGATAAAAGTACACTGTATAAGGACCTACAAACCAAGTGACAGTCCAGTAGAGTGGGTGAAGGTTTCCAGAACATATATCCACCTTATTCCTGATAAGCCTACTGCATTTTGAAATATGGGTGGCAATTCCGGTTTGGGGAACTTCCATTCAAAAAGACTGAAACTAATCATTTCAAATCATAAGGTTGCCCTACAAATAAAGCTTATCCGTCTGTTTGACTGAATGAGCCGTCGATTTTCCTTCATGCTTTATTTTCAGACATCATTATAGTAATGTAACGCTTGGTATATTAACGTGTCATGTTATAACAAGAATATCTATGGCAAGAGCTCTTTCCAGTTGCTGCATTCTTTTCCTCATGATTATTTTCTTTTTTCCCTTTGCATTCCGCTTTAATAGTATGAAAAAGGACAACATATACTGCACATTTGTGGACCGTTCTCCCAATTTAATTTACAATATATTCCATTAATAATTCAGTGGAATACACCAAGAATCTCTCGTTTTTCTCCTCAAATCCTCACGTCTCTTTCCAGGTTTGTTTGTTTTCAAGTTATATACAATTTATTATCTGTCAAAATGACAGAAATCACTTTGAAATAGTAACACGCAATGCTGACGTTAATGAACATTTTTAATTAAGGCAATGTATGTTACATAATACAGATATATTATAGTGATATTTCACCCGTCCGTTATTGCTGTGGAAAGAATCGCACTTTTGGGGTTATTCATGGTCTATTAAAGGTACCTATGCTTTTACACTTTTAAATGTCATTTTAATGTTCGATGGTTGAAGGGTGAGTAGAATAATGTCATCTCATTGTATCCAGTTAAAGAAAAAAAACGTATTATTGCATTCATAGAGCGAGCCTTTCACTAATTGTTTACAGCTTAACGGAAGTTATACCCATAATTCGTGCAAAGCATCATGGGGCATAGGAATAAGGTGGATATCTTTTTTTTTTTGTACTTCTGTAAAATATCTTTTAAATTATGTAATAGATTTGGACATTATTAATTAATTACATGCAATTTTATTGATTTGTCAGGTCGAATGTATTGTGCCAGTTTGAGAATGATGAGTTTGAGATAAATAATTTCACAAATGATCAATACAAATGGCGTCAAATACTCAAAAAATCTAAACGTTTAAGATGCATGTACCTGACCATAGAGAGAGACACAGTATTGTGTGAGTGTTCAGGGTACAGAACTGTGCTGTTTTTTTTAATATTATTTATTGCTCCCAGTTTCCAGTTTTCAGTGATTTCCCAGTTACTCCTAGTGAATCTTTTGTTTCATATGAATACCCAGATCAAAACTAAGAGATCTTAAACTCCAAGAAATAAACCATTAAATTTTAACAGAATTAAGAATCCAACTGTATGATCTAAGGATCACACCATATTCAGATCTTTAAAAAGACAGTTAGAAAAAATGCTCCACCAGTAGAAGCATGGTTTTTAAATCTTTATTATGATCTACTCTTCCGCTGAGATAATGAGATGATTGTACACAATCACGATAAGACATAAAATGATACCAAACTCAGACATGGGAAACAATTAATTAATAGAACAGACCAGTCATACGAGCCTGGTGGAAGACATGAGAGCCACTAATATGCAGAAAAGGACAGTAGACGTTCTCCCACAGTAGAAGTTCTTCTCCTAGACATAAAACGTGTCAGTGTTATGCTGAACCTGCTTTAAACTAGTTAATACTACGAGAATGACAAAGATCAATTTGATATGACTGAATTTGATTATGCTTATTTTATAGATAATTTGTGCTGAAAAACTACAACTAAAATGTAAGCACTCAGAGTCTCATTTTAACACCTCAAAAAAATTTGCGGAAACTAGCTTACCAAATCCTCTGCAACAAAATCAACCACACACACACACACACACACACACACACATTGGGTTTCCATGTTTTATGGGGATATTCCATAGACATATGTTTTTATACTGTACAAACTGTATATTCTCTCCCCTTACCCTAACACAAAACTTTCTGAATTTTTTGATTTAAAAAAATAATAATAATTTAGCATGATTTATAAGCTGTTTTCCTCATGGGGACCAAAAATAGTGATGTTTTCAGCCATCATTACTATAAACTAGTGCTTGATGGACTGGGTATAAATGACTCGTGTCTCTTCTTGATTTAAGATATCAGTATCCACGATCTGCCAAGGGAAAAATGGGAAATAAAATCATAATTTTGTATTCTGCTACAAATCTGCTGTATAATCTACTATACAAAGTCATAGTTTTGTGTAAGTTAATTCAGTCACTTCAAGCGATATTAATTCTGGAAAAAATGATTCAATAACAGTAACTGAATTTGATATCTGAATGCAATCCCAGTTTAACTTTTGTACTTTGTTCAATACTTCACCTACCTGGAAACTGAAGTAATTTAGTATTGCATAGTTAAAAATTAAAACCTAACCTAATTTACAGTATAGGCAGTTTTATCATTTTTGTATTTTAATCACATTCTGTATTTAAATTGTGAGAAATGAAAAGGCAATTACCTGCTTCCATTGATTTCTGGGATGATTCAAGTTATCTTAATAAATACAAATCAAAATCTATGGTTAAAAATATGATGATGATTGTGACGAGTGGGGGCGGGGCCGAGAGCCGTGGGAACGGAGCGAGGCCGGTGGAGTGATTGCTAATGAGGGACACCTGCACCCACTCACCGGTCTCGAGTCTCACGGAGGAGCTCCGGTAGGATAAAGGAGGAGTGACTACAGTGTTGGACGAGAGAGGACCAGG